AAAAAAGAAATTAACATGTATGTGTATGTATTAATTCTTTTTCTTTCATATCTTTTCAATACACATGGTGTATACGCTTATAAAAAAAAAAGCCAACTTAAACAAACTAAACACACTCTTATATATATACAAATAAATCCCATAGGGAGAAAAAAATAAAGAAGTCTCTAGTTCAAAAACAACAATAGATAGATAGATCTAATAAATGTACAAGAGTTAAATTTTTTACAACTGAAACACAAGAAAAATAAAGAAAAAGAAAAAGAACGAAAAATGAAAAAAAGAAATCACACATACATACAGTTTAAATTAACTGTTGAAAAGGATAATGTTGAACTTGTTGAGGATTAGGTAACACGTAATAATGTGGTGGTAGTGGAACAGTAGAAATCCATGGTGTTGAAGGTGTTGTAGGTGATGACGAATAAAATAATGGATATGGTGATGATGATTGTTGTTGGTGGTGTTGTTGAGGACTACCAGGATAAATATTAGCATTATTTGGTGAACAATTCATTGGATCCATATAAATATGTGGTACCATTGAAATTGGATGAAATCCTAGAAAAAATAAATTATTAGAAAAAGACAGGAGTATAGAAATATTTTACCTGCAACAGGTTGTTGCATACCTGGACCAATCATTGGATGTGTTGGAGACTTTATAATAATAGAAAAAAAAATGAAAAATGATTTATCAATAGTAGAAACTTACCATAACAACAAAAGGAGTTTGATTAGGATGAAATCTAGAAAAATTATAATTTATAGAATATTTCATAACTAAAATGAATACATACTTGTTTGATGACATCTCATTCGGTATATGTTGTTCAGTTTGTTCACTAATTAATCTCGGTGAAATATGTTGTGGAACAAAGACAGTTGGTTGAACATATTGATGATGTTGTTGTTGTTGTTCACATGATGATTGTTGAGAATATTGATTAAAAAAAACTGTTGGCATTGGTGCTAATATTGGATAAGGTGAACTATCATTTGTACTTGTATTACTACTTAAACTACCATTTAATGACATGGTATCTATATTTGATGAATTTGCTGTTGTTGAATATCCCGGATAATAATTTGTTGGATTCGTTGACCATTCATAATGATCAGTTACATTAACACTAAGACGATGATGTAATTGCATCTGATCAGAATTACTCATTGGCATTAATATTGGTACTGGTTGATGAGAAGAAGAATGTGGAGATATCCAATTCGAATTTTGATTATAATTATCAAGTGGTGGTGAATATAATACTGTTGGATTTATTGGTGACATTAATGGTTGATATGGACGTAAACTAAAAGTAAAATATTGAATTATAGACCAAGTTAATACAAGACTCTTACAGTTGAATTGATGGATTATTTCCATAATCAATAACTTGTTGTCGTTGTCGTCTTGATGAACGTTCTTCAAAAAATTGTAAACTTGCATCCACTAAATGAAATTTATTTGAAACGATTTTTCTAAATAAAAATAAAAAAACTTACAACAAGGTTTTAATTTTCGATAAATATTTGTATGTCGTTTTAATTGTGCAAATGTTATTGGACGACGACCAAGTGATGCTGGAAAATCCAACATTTTTTCACCAGTTGTTTTTGTCCTGTAAAATAAAAATAATTTTCTTTAAATTAAAATTTAGTTTTTACATTGAACCAAATTTAACAAGATAAACATTATGCATATTTGTATCTGAATCTTCACCAACATAATAAGCAAATAGTTCATCGGAATTTGATAATCGAACAATGACTCGTCGACAATCTGATGGATTTATATAAGAAACAGGCAAATGCATTTTAACACCTTTGAAATTAAAAATAGAAATTCACATTTGTAAATCTTCGTATCTTACCAAAACGTTCAATTAATCGATTATGTGTCATAAATGGAATATGTTGATGTGATTTAATCATATTTCTATCAATATATTTTTTAAAATGATCATTCATATAAACATCATAAGCAACGTTTCGAAAAATAGCTGGTTCCAATGCTTTTGCTGTACGATATGGTACAGGAATTAATTCATGATTACTTTTTTTTTCTGTTCGAATTGAATTTCTAAAAAAAGAAAAGAAAAACAAATATAAATATTTTTTTCTTTGAATTTAAATTTATTTACTTTTGCATGCTAGCTCCTTTAACTCCATAATAAAGTGTATCAGATTTTCTTAACATTGCTTTCGCTTGCTCGACTACTTTGGGTTGATTGAATACTTCACTGTAGAGAAATTTGTAAACATAAGCTAAAAAAGAAAAAGAAAATTGATTTATATCTAGATGTTAAATACAATATTTTTCTTATTATAATCTATTATAAAAGATGAAGAATAATTTACCTTGTACAATGCCTAAAAGTCGACGACGTTCTTCTGTAATAACCCGATCAAATTGATACCCAATTAATGAAAACATTATTTTATTTGAACCATATTGACATTCCACAGGATGATGATCTTTACCAGAATACACAATAATACATACACTGAATAAAAACACAATGTTATTTTTTTTCAAATAAGACAACGTTTTGTTTTCTTTACCGATAACATCGTGCAAGTGCTTCTACCTCAAGCATACCACCTGGTGTCTAGAAAAGAGATATAGTTTCGAATTCAAATTTAAATAAACGAATTAACTTACAGTTGGATCTTTTAAATGAGTTAAATATTTTGATAACGGCATTGTAATTAACTAAATAGAAGAACATATGGTCTTGACAATTTAAACATGAAGACAAACACTCAGAATCAATTAAGATAGTTCTTCTGTTATAGTATACTTTCAAAATCAGCAATGGATAAAAATCTCTTACTTGACTATACTCATTAGCATTTAATTCCATATGTTCAATACATTTTAATCGAACATCGTAATGATGGACTTGAGTAGAAAATAGCTACGAAAAAAACAAAAAAAAAATATTTAAAAAATAAATTTTATTTTGCTTACAGCTTCTGATAAAGCACGAAATAAACTTGATCCATCTTAATTAAATAAAAATTTGTAAAAAAAAATTTCTTTCTGTTTTTGCTAACCTTGTGGAATACGTTTTCTCCAAAGTCTTTGACGTTCAAGATATCTATCCATAGAAGTATCAAGACTACCAATAGTATATTCTTCTTGTTCATCATCCATATCTCGATATTCTTGTCGTTCCATTATTAAATTGAAATTAATTCACTTTCAACTATTATACAAACACAACATCAACAACAAACAAATGATATATAGATATAGAAAAGAAATGAATAGAGTTTTATCTTTTCGTCTGAAAGGATACTTCTATCGACTATTTATATCGATATTTTTCTTTTCTTTTCTTTTTCTACTTTCATTCATAGATAGTTACCCTCGATGGATATATTTATACCATGTGACATATATATTCTTACTATTTTAAATCATATAAAGAAACAAATCAATTGTTTCATTCGTCCGTTTCATACGTATGTTAAAAGTTGACGAATATAACTATATTCTTCAATAAAGAAAAGACATTCGGTCAATCGAGTACTAATAGAAATAGATAATGTTCTTCTTTAAAAGTTGTTTTTTCTTTTATATTATCGTCTATTTTCAGAGTTTATACAAGAACTATAAATATAAAATAGACATCGTACAGTTAAGAAACTAAAGCAAACGACAATGACAATCTTCGGAAACTACCGCTCATTTCAAAATAAATAATGGGTGAATATTGTTTGAATGATTTTCAGAAAAACAGTATATCTCTCATTGACAACATATGAATGTATTGATTGTCAGCAGCGTTCTACGATTGCCAAACAGAGAGCTACAAAACGATTTCATTTCTGACTAAGACTCTTAGGAAGTAGTTGGAGAAATGTTGTTAGATAATTATGAATTATTTCTTTCACCATTTTATTTATTTTTTAAAATTTATTAACTAAATCATATTCTAATGACATAAACATAATTTATTTGAATAAATGTTCACAAAAGAAAAAAGAATGTCTTTCAAATATTGAAATGATTAATTGGAATGAATATGTCGTTGAATAATGATTAATTACTAAATAAAAAGAAAAAACAAGTTAATTTTTTTTATAATTTTTCTGCATAATGTTTCGCATATTTTATCATGCGACGTTTAGATGTCGAATCAAAATATTTTAAATAATTTTCAATATTAAATTGATTCGATTTAGTTTTCTTATCATTTTTTATTATTTGTTTATAATGTTGATATTTTTTTCTAAAACGTCGTATAATAATTTTAACATGTTTCCATTCAATTTGTTTTGCATATAGTTTAGGTCGAATTAATGTATTAGGTGAATTTATATCAAGAACAAATCCAGTACGATAACGTTTACTTCCATCTTGATTTGTTGTTTGAAATACATTGGATGTCGGAGCAATTGGTGATGGTAATAGTGAATCTATTATTTGTTTATGTATTTGATCAAGTTCATCATATAAAATTTCATTTGAATATTCATCATGAACATCATGAAGATAAAGTAAAATTGTTATTAAACAAGTATAATGTGTAGCTAAATCGAGAACAGGATTACTTGGAAAAATATTAAAATATGTATCGATGGAATCTATTGGTATTATTTCAACATATGTATCATTAATATCATTATCAAGACAATGAATATCAGGTGCTGTTGCTCGTCTTACAAGCCATGGTCGAATATATAATTCATGTGCAGAAAAAAGTTGACTATTAGAAAGAAATTGTTGATGATCAGGTTGTTCATCATCAAACGATGATAATGAACTTGAATCATTATTGTTATTATTCGTATCGTAAATAAAACTACGTTGTTTTTTTATTTTTGATCGATTCGATTCGTCACCATTTATATATCGACCAACGATTAATGTATGTTGAGATTCATTAGGTATTACAGCATCGTTTATTAATACATTCGATGCTTGAGATTCAACTAGTGGATAATTTGAAAAAGAAGAAGGAATTATTTCAGATGAAAAGAATTCACTTGAAATACCCCGGAAATTTTCATCTGTATCGTGTTTAATTATATCAATAGTTGGTACAAATGTATTTGATTGAAATAATAAACTTTTTCCATGTCCACCACCATTACTATAAAATGAAAAACGTCGTTGTAGTTGCTGTTGTTGTTGCTGTTGTTCATTAGAATAACTTGTTGTTTCTATTGCTGCTGTTAAAATAGCATTATCAACTATATTTGATACGACTTCATTTACATATTGTTCAATTACATCATCATTTATCGATGAAGGAATTTTTTCATTTTCCTTATTTGATGAATTGGAAATTTTTGAATCGTTTGTAATAGATTTTATTGATGTTTTATTATTTGGAATGTTTATATGAAGTTTATTAGCTGGTGTTGTTGTTTCGAACATTGAAACAAGACTTCGTACAGTATGATTAGGAGGAGATTTTCTATCTAGCTCTTCTTTAGGTATTGTGAAAACTTCTTTTAATTCATTCATAAGTGTATTTCGTTGATCTTCAATAACTTGAGTTGAAATATTTGTATGTTTAGATTTATTTTCTTGTGGACTTAATTGAGGAGATATATTAACATAAACAGGATCATTATATTGATTCTTTTTTGGTATTAATTGATTTACGAGATTAAAATTATCGGAATTATTTATTATTTCAATCGAACTAAATTGTGTTGAAACATCATGAAATTTATTTAGAATAGTTTGAGTAGAAATATCATCCATATGTTTAACTTCTTTTGGACTATATTGAGTCGATGCATTATAATGTAATTGTGTTAGAGTTAATGGTGGTGGA